TTTAGTCTAATATTGTTTGCTATGGTAAATGTATTATGAATTTCAAACTGTTGACATAAAAATGTACCTTTGGAAGAAACTGCCTTTAAGTTGAGGACTATCTGTGATATATTACTTTTTAAGTTTATTTATTTATTTATATATTTTTGCTGTGCTGAGGATTGAACTCATGGCCTCAGGCAGCTACGCAGGTGCTCTCCTACTGAAATATCCTCAACTCTTGCTTTTTCTAAAGATTAAAATAAAATCATTTCTTATGCCTTTTTCAAAGAGTCTTTAGAGAGACATTTAAAAAATCCTACATTAAGAAAATTTATTGGCCATAAGTAGTGATGCACACTTGTAATCTCAGGACTAGGGAGGCTGAGGCAGGAGGAACCTTGTGAGTTCAAGGCCGGCCTGGGGTACATAGTGAGTTTAAGGCCAGCCTGGACTACATAGTGAGATCCTGTCTCAAAAAATTTATTAATGTATAAATTCAAAATTTAAAATGGATGCAATGAATGAATGAATTCAGTGTTTTTTGAACGGGTAAACAGTGAAATGGTGACAATAGTTTTAACAAGCTTTGCATGTATTCTTTATGCAGTGTGGATTTTAAAAAATAAAATATGCTTACAAGAGTAAAGGAACACTTAAAACTTGAATGAGACCTTGATTCTCTTTTACAGTGAAGCTCCTGGTGCCTGGATAAGACTTATAAGAAGAGGGAGAAAAACACAGCTTAAATCATTTTATAGGTTAGATTTACACATCTAAGTCTATTTTATTCTGAATGCCATTATTTTGTTCTGGGTAACTTAGGTAACTATTACCATGAATGGTGAGACCTTGTTCTTAAGAGGAGATGTTTAATTTTTGGGCTGGCCAGTGTGAAAACTCAACATTTATTAGCATATATTCCAGTTTTCCATAGGTATTTTAAAAACTAAAAATAGATGTTTTGATTGCATATTAGGCTTTACATTTTACCTATCATGGGAAAGAAATACATATATGAACATTATTAAGTTGAGTAAGATTAAAGTGAACATAATCAACTCAATGGAGTAAAGCCTACTGTTATTAAATATTCAGTGTTCCCCCATAAAATCCTAAGAAGTAGGTATATTAGACCTTGGGCCTGTGTACATGCTCTGGTTTCTGAAAGACTTCATTCATTCAACAAAAATACATCAAGTCTCTGCTTTGTGTCAGGTTCGGTGCTGGGCTACATAGGGTATAAAATAGACCCCAGTGTGTGATCTCATTATTTAGAATCAGTTTGGAGACAGATTAACCATGACCAGGAGCCAGAGGTTGCGTATCAGCTCAGCCATGCACAGGGGGCCATGTGAGCTCATGGAGGACTTGGAGTCAAGGACAGTTTCTGGGAGGGTGTTATGTTTGGAAAGAGCCATGAAGAAATATGGCGCTTTCTGTATAAAGGCTGCAGATGCAAGGCACTGGGAGTGGTGGGTGAGATTGTTCTAGGAAGATGAAATACCACACGACAGGGCCTGCTATTTATCATAGGCTCTTGCAATAAAACATTTAATATGTCCTCTTTGCCCCACCAATTTTCTTTGAAATGATCTTATTGACAGGTCTTCCCTCTCTTTGGACTGGGGAGAAGAGTTCTAGACTTCTACGGTCTCCTTTGTTTCATGTACTTAAGATCCTTTCAATTGTTTTCATTACCAGAATTTCCCAGCACATCTTCCTTGCAGCTGGCTTCAAAAGAGAAAGCTCCTGGGATTCCAGGTGCTTGGGTCCTCAGGTGTCTCTTCCCAGTTCTGCAAACCTTCCCTGGAGCAGCGATGGTTTTGAATCCTCGATCATCTCAATTTCTCTCTTCCAGTTAATGGTTAGTTTATTTAATCAATAAAGAAGCTGATCACCTTCTAGGAGCATTAAATAAAACTTTAATTCATGATAATTGGTTTCTAAACAGGATCATATTTTTCCCCCTCCCAAACTTTAAATATCTTAAACTTCAATTGAACAAAATAAGAATTCTTTCTACAAAACATGCTCATGTAATTAGTTGCCTTACTGACATCATGGATGGATTTAGCTTTCTTCATTCTCTTTAAGACTCAGTTTGAGACCTTTTGCAAATTCTAATATTTTGGAAGTGTGGTAGATCCCAGGACACAAATATAATATCTTGCTTAGTTCCTTCAGCTGCCCTGGCTACTCAGGTCATGAAACATGAAAGGAGTAAAAGACAGGAACAGACCCAGTACATCTGCCATACTGAAGACTCCCTTGATGTTTCTAAGAGAAACAAGGCATTTGAAGATATTCTTTCCCCGAATCTTGAGATCTTATTAGATATTTTATAAAATCAGAATTTTAGAATTTAATTTCTGTAAAGTCCAAAGCAAAGAAAATCACACTCAATGACTCATGTCTTTAACAATCATTAAAAGTACTGGATGATTTTGGAAGTAAATAGTAAGGACTCAAATAATGGTTGAACATGAGTCTCAGTGTAACCCAATCCCCAGGGATGTGATTAGCTCGTGGAAGAAAGTGTAAACATGACCCAAGTCTAAGAGATCACATTAAGCAGTATTTAAAGGTGGGAGTAGGGGTGGTTCAGGACCCTAACAAAGAAGCAGAAACCAGCACACCGACCTCAAAATGTCAGAGCAAAAGGGGAGAGGAGGGTGGTATTTTGTCATTTTAGGATAGAGAAAGGAAAACATTATGGTAAATACATTAAGATGCTTATTTGACATGCAAACCTTGATAAAATCAAATAACAGCAAGCATCTTTTGAATAAGCTATGCTCAGATTATCTGACAATTTTAATAAAAGAGCTATAGGAAATTCAGTTGCCCAGAGAACAGCCGTCTGAAGTGCATCTTATTTTGAATAAACCAATATCAACTCAATAAGAGTTGACTGGAAATGTTTGTCACATGACAAATGGAAATGATTTTCCATTGTGGAATGTTGTGAAGAGCATGGAGAAGGGGGAAGTTGAATATTGCATTTTCAGACTCTCAGGCCTGGCTGTGCGATGGCACCTTACGGGCCGCTCTGGGGAAGGGTTTTCCATTAGACTTGGTTTGTCACACCTGCAGGCTACTTACTCTGGGTCTTGCAATTTCCTATCTGATGTTGCAGGGAGGTAATGCTATCTGGATCACATCCCTGGTACACAAGGTTTAGTAGTGTTGAGAATCCATCAAATATATGGCACAGGCATCCGTGACAAAGCTTAGCTGCCTTCATGCCCATATGACAGTCTGGTACTGCTCAGAAAGTGTTTGAATCACCTGCGGAGTTCAAAGAATGTAAAGCCTGGGTTCCACTTTAGACTAGTTAGACAGAATCTTAGGAGAAGAGGCTCAATATCAGCATTCTTATGAATCTTTCCAAGCTGTGTACTATGAGATACACATATATCTCATCTACCAAATACTTTTACAAAATATGTTTGTCAGCAAACTGTGTAAGTAAATATTAAACAGTTCTATGCAATATGCCTGCCCAGACTGGGAGAAGATGACATGCTGGTTACATTTTGGCTCCTATGCTTCATGCACCATCACACTGCGTGGTGGCAAAACAGCCCACGGAAGCTGAGACTGTTAACATATTATTCCAGCTGGAGTCAAATGTTGGGGGAAGGAGGTCTCTTTGCTCCTAAAGAGGGGGCTGTTGAGAGAGTAGCTTTAGGAAAGCAGTGGGGAGAGTTGCTGTTTTTCTCCAGGTGTTTGATGCGACTGACGGCCCCTGTCTGAACTTCCTAGTCATTTGGCATTTCATTAGCTGCCAGGTTTTCAATTTCTGCCTCTTGGAAGTTACACCGCTTTGAACAAGTCCCCACAGTAATTGAATTTGCCACAGAAATAGAACATTGGAAAATTTCATTTTCTTCTTCCCTGCATGAAGGCAGCAGGCAGGCCAGTGATACACATATTCCTGCTGGGTTACCTGGCTCCTCTTCACTGGCCTGGCTTCCCCTCTCTTCCCCCTGCATTTGCTAAGGCGCATGCCCATCTTGCTCCCAAAGCAGGTATAGAGTCACAAAAAAAGGCCTGCTTTCAAATCATCTCCAAGTGCATCAGCCTGTCACTTTGTAATTTTCTTCTAAATGCCTTCCACAAATAATGGTTTTCAAAATGAGCATTAACAGTCTTGATTACATGAAATTGTCCTTTTAATTTACACCAGGATTCTATTGATCACACAAGTGCAGATTAAAGTGTTCAATGAAGCCCGTGATGAGGTATTAACCAGCTAAGGGTCCTCCAGGGGCCGCCAGGGAGGCCAGGAATATGCTAGAAGTGTACAGTTATTTCCCCATAATGAAGTGGCACTATGCGAAGGCATGAATCGCTGGCAGGAAGAATAGATCGGAGATGATGAGCTCTTCAAAGTCATTTCTCCCTCACTCATTCAGCCTCATGCCCAGATCCTCTTGCGATTCTTCTGCATTACTTGTCATGAAATGCCAGGATTTACTTAGCCAGCTGATGCAATTTTTATGACCTTATTGCTTTTTCACCATGGTAATAGTTTTGAATCAATTTATCAATCCAGCAGTGCCATCAGACATATTGCCCTGAAGATCAAGTCCGGGTCATTCCATCAATTCACTGCGGTTTACGAAGATAGAGAAAAAAGCCAGGCTGTGTGGGCTATCAACTTCAAATGGCTTAGTAAACATGCTTTGGCTGTTTTAACTGCTTCACTTCTGACTCTGGACCTTTGTGCTTCTGGACAAGACCACCCAAATCAGCCCCGCTGGATATGGTAGATGCAGCCCTGAAGCCAGGAGGCCTTGGGAGAGGAAGAAGCACATCTGGAGAGTTCCCAGCCAGAGTGGTTGCAACAGGACTTGGAGGGAGGCTTGTATCCAGCATTGACTGAGGATGCTACCTAAGTTCCAACAGTTTGTCTCACCAGCCAGAGAACTTGGCAGCTGGTGGGGGAAAAGGAAGAAGAGAGGCGTGTTCCTTTAGTAATAGGTTTTGTAGCAGGGTTGGGATTCCTAATCCAATCCATCTTCTCTCTACAGGAGCTGCTGGTCAGTGATAATGGTTTCAAAAGATGAAAACTCTGTAAGTCATTTTTCATGGGATGAGGTGTCACCAAGGGCAGGACACACACAGAGAACAGCACACTTATTGGAAGAGATGATCTCTCAGGAAGAGAATGAACATTTCTTGCCCCAGGGAGAGAGGGAAGGAGTGGAAGAGGTGGCATTTGGTTAGATTGCTGATGTTTGCACAGATAAAACACTAGATGTCTCTTGAGAATCCAGTGCAGTTATTACATTGGGTGCAAAGAATCTTGAATTATTATTATATTCCTTGTACTTATGCATGATGTCAAAATTTGAAATCCTATGCTCCAAATTCTGGTGATACAGTATTTGCAGAAAAGTGACAGTGACTCTAAATATTATTAAAAAGTGTATTGTTTGCAAGGCCTTAATAGAGTTTAAATGCAGACTATTGGCTTTGTCTTGTTCTAGGAAGCTGCCATATTCAGCATTTAAAGTGAGATTTGTCAGATCCCAAGCTTATGTCGATTCTATAAAAGTTTAATGATCTACTTCCAGGTCTAGCAACATTTAGGATTTATTTACAATCTTTATTATAAAATTTGTCCAAAATATACACATTCCTCAAAGGCTTCTGAGATTAGTGGCAGAAATATAAATGCACCAAGTGAAATATGGCAGATGGTAAAATCTGTTTGCTAGGCATTTTTTGCTTTTTAATCTTATTTATTTTTTCATTTTGCTTTTCTTTTCTATTTAGCATATACTGAAGGAGGAAAGAAAAGCCCTTCTGTTTCTATGGAATGTTTTAGGGGAAGCTGTTGAAGAGGTTGGTTACTAAAGGAAAAATTCTTTCATGTGTAGTCTTCTCCTCACCCTTCTGGGTATTTAGCAAATTTGGAGTTGGAATCAGGATAAGAAACTAGGAATTGTGAAATCAAGGAGTGTGTGGGAAGAAAGGTTGGAGATCATCTAAGACAATTCTTTTATTTTACAAATGAGGATGCAGCTACATTCTACTGGAAAATTACAGTTGATTGGTTGCATGTGGTCTTCTAATTACAAAACTCCAACAATTCAGAATTCTCTGCAACTCAGCCTCTGTGCTGTAGATGCATCCTTGCCTCAAAATTCCTTGACTTCCTCTAGCATAGTACTAGTTACATTCACTTTCATGCTGCAAACACAGTGCCTTATAACTTACCACCTGTTAGGTTGGTGGTTGTCAAATGTTAAAGTGTCTCCAAGAGAGCTGAGATGCTTGTGAGAAACAGACTCCTGCCTTTAATTATGAGATTCTTCTGTGAGTCCATAGAGGCTTTGTAGTCTGCATTTGAAACAAGTATCTCAGCTGATTCACGAGTTCCAGAGTTCCCATGGCTTAAAATGCTGCTTTATCACATAATTGCTTACATGGTCTAGGCCAAGTGACCAGAAGGCTTTAAGCCACAGTTAACATCTGTAAAACGGGCCTATGCATACCCGACTCATAGGATTGCTATGGCAATCTGTGAAGTTTATGAAGATTGCTTAGAAGGCATTTCCTTATGGCTCTATGTCTACAGTTTAGGTTAACACAAAAAAGGCTAATGAAAATCTTAATATCTAAAAGCAAATTGTAAAAACCTAATCAATAGAGTTTTCAGTAAATAAGTGTTCCTTTGTGGAATAAAATAATTCATAATTATTATAAAACAACAATGTTCTCTTCCTCAATGGATCAGTGACTTTTTAATATATAAGAACTTTAACAAATGACACACTTATAGGTTTGTTGGGTCCTAGTGGAGGGCTGGAATGGGGGTACCTAACTTATGAGTTCAGTCACAAGTCATCCCTCTTTTTCTTTTTTTTTATCCCTCTTTTTCTATCCCCAGTTGTTTACACACTAAAGGATTCCTCAAGCCCACACACTCACTGGGACCCCATCCTCTTCCTTCTTGACAGTCCACAGAAAGGGTTCCCTTCATCCCTTCCAGAGTTTCTTGGCTGTCTGCCATTTGTGCAACCCAGTGATAGGCATATAGTATTTAATGATTATGAACCATAGTAAACACCCACTGCAGGCATTTGGATGAGATGGAAATCATTGTGGGTGGAGTGGTTAGGGACAGCCTTTGGGGTGGTGGTGGGAGCTGAGGATTCCTGAGACATCCAGGCAGGAGAACCAGGATTTTGCCCTCTGTTCAGATAGCTAGGTTTGGGCAGAGAGCCCATGCAGAGAAAAGATTGCAAGGTGAGTTGGAGTTGGTCAGAAAATGTGCTGCTGAACTGGAGGTAAAAAAGAGTTACTATTAGAAAAGAACATTTTCTATAACATAGGCAAAACCTTGAAGTCATAGGCATAGGCAAGGACTTTATGAAGATAATTCCAATTGCACAAGAAATAGCATCAAGATTCAACAAATGGGATCTTATCAAATTAAAATCCTTCCACACTCCAAAAGAAACAAACAGAATGAAGAGACAAATTACAGAATGGGAATTTTTTTTTTGCCAGCTACACCTCAGACAGAGGACTAGTATCTCTAGAATATATAAAGAATTAAAAGAATTAGGCTTTCCTTAAAATAAAAGACCTAATCAAAAATGAGCAAGTGAAATGAAAGGACACTTCTCAGGAGTACAAATGGCAAATAAATATATGAAAAAAAGTTCAATATTGCTGGCCATTACAGAAATGCAAATGAAAAGAACACTGAGATTCCATCTTACTCCAAAAAGAATGACTATCATCAAGAAATCAAATAATAACAAATGCTGGTGAGGCTGTAGGGAAAAAGGAAACCTTCTGCACTGTTGGTGGTAGTGTAAACTAGTACAGCTGCTATGGAAATCAGTATGGAGATTCCTCAAAAAACTAAAACTAGAAATTCCATTTGACCCAGCTACTTCCCTTCTAGATATCTTCCCAAGAGAGTTAAAAATATCATATTAGAATGATCCATGCATACTCATGTTTATAGCAGAACAACTCATAATACCCAAATCTTGGAAGTAGCCTATATATCTATTAGCAGATGAATGGAAAACAGTGTGGTATTTATGCACAATGTAGTCATGTTCTGCTATAAAGAAGGGTAAATGTGAGTCATCTGTAGGAGAATGGATGCACTTTGAGACCATAATGCTAAGTGAATAAGTCAGATATACAAGCTTAAATATTGCATGGTTTCTCCTATATGAGAAACCCAAAGTATAAATAAATTAAAGAGCCAAATAAAAGATAGATAATAGGAAGGAGGGAGATAGATCTTTTTCAAATGGGAAGGGGACCAACAGATGGGGAGTAGGGGAAGCAGGGAATAAAGGAGTGTGAAAAGAATTAAGATGTGTTATATACATGTACCAACTCCCCACGATGAGTGTAATTGTTATGTATTGCAGCAAATCTGTACTAATAAAAAATAGTGGTTTTTAAGGGAATAGTTATCAAATTGTGTCTAGTGAAACTCTTGGGTGACTTGCAAGCACTTCAGACATTCTGAATGGAATTTTATTTAAAATCTATTTGAATCATTAAAAAAACTAACTGAAAGTATACATTTATATTTGTTATTTGCTACACTGTAATATATATAGTAAATATCACTTCTGTGTTCTTCTGTGGCACAGTTTACTAATTTCACTGTGGTGTGGAATAGAACTCATATTACTATTTTGTATGCATTCTGAAAGCCATATGACTTTGCCGAGAAAGCTAATACAAAATTTATGCCCTTTGCAACTTCATATCAGTAGGAATCAGGATTTTTTCAATAAAGTGCAACAAATAAATTTAGATGCTGAATTTGATAAGCCCACAGCTGTCATTTGAGTCCTCCAATTTAAAGTTTTTGCAAATGTTTTGTATTGATCTACTTAGAACTTTCTATTTTATAAAGTGTGTTTTGGATGGGAGCCATCTATGAAAGAGCAGAATGAAATTCTGCTGTTAAAAAACGCTAAAGGCCAAAGTCCAAGGTCATATAGTCTCTACTTACAGAATGGAGCTGGGTCTATGGAATATTTTAAAGGTCAATTTGTGTGGAACTTTTGAGCAGTGAAATTGCACATTGGTAGCTGGAAAGATTTGATTGTTTACATTGGATTTAAAGGAAATAAAATAGAGACAGAATATATTGAAGACAGCTCATTGTTTAGCACAGTCACAGGAAGGTTAAAGGTCTGGACAAGAATGGTAGTGATAAAAATGAAGAAGAGGAAAATGGAAAAATTATTACGGAATAGTAACCGAAAATTTATGGTGTTGACAGAAATATTGAAAGACTGAGGAAGAAAGGACAGGAAGAAAGAGTTGCCCAGATTTTGGAAAGGATTTTTAGGATAGCACTAGAGAATGAGAAGACTGAGGCTTGAGAAGACAATGATGGGAATGATGGCTTTAGCCTTATATTCATCAATTTTCTGTTGCTTAACAAAATATTTGAAACTAGGAACTTTGAAAGAAAAGAGGCTTATTTTTCTCCCAATGTTGCATGCCCAAGATTGAGTAGTCTCATCCTGTTGGCCTCCAGGGAGGTCTCCTTGACTGTGTCACAACATGGCTGATGGCATCTTGGCAGAGGCCTTTGCAAAATGAGAGTTCACATGGTGAGAGAGGAAGGTAGAGACTGGGAAGCGCCTGTCTGGCTCTTTTATATCAGAACACTCTTGAGGATACTAACTCATTATGAGAGCAGCATCACTTCCTTCTGAGGGCAGTTTACCCAAGGACCTCACTGCCTCCCACTGGGCCCACATTTTAATACTATCACATGAGGGACCAAGCTTCCAACCAATGAACCATTTAAGACATACTCAAACCATATCTAACTCACAGCTGTCTTGTTTCATTTTATTACCAAAAGTCACATCCTCAAGGGATCAGGCCAAGTGGAATTGTTCACAAGGCAGATTTGGACATATAAAGAAGCTTTAGAAAGTGAGGGCAGATGAGATCTTTGAAAGGCAGTGACAAGAAGATTGGGATTGAGAGGACACATACTGAGGAGGAACTGGTCACAGTGGGAGATACAAGAGTGGTCAGAGAAGAAAGAAGAGAGAAATGAGAAAAAAAAGCTCACAGGAGTCTAGTCAGTGGAGTTGCATTTGACTGTAGTGTGTGAATATCTTCTCACACACTACAAGTCTGTGGTTCTGTTCACAGATTGATTGACAATTGTTGCCATTTCTGAGGCCCATTTGTTGACCTTGGCCTCCTAAGATAATGAAGTAATCTAGAGAAGACTGAGACAGGACTGATTTATATGATATTAGGATAATTTACTGACTGCTAAATGCTCCTGGTCACATGCATCAGGCAATCCATATCTCAGTGCCAGCTCCCAGGCTTCCATAACCTGTGCTTCTCTCCATGTTCCACACTTTCAGCCCTGACCTCTATTATTAGAACCCATTCCCTATAACCAGCAGCATTAGTAGGAAACACAATGCATAGGAAGTCTGAAAATTCAACCTCAGACTCCTTGTTCATCTGCTTTCTGATGGCTGGGGCAAAATACCCAACACACACAACTTAAAGGATGAATAATTTATTTGGCTCACGGTCTCAAAGGTTTCAGTGCATGGTTGGCTGGCTCCAAAGCAGGAATATCACAGTGGAAGGGCATGGTGAAACAAAGATGTTTTGTTCATGGTGAACAGGAAGAAAGGCAGAGGAACACTGCCAGAAAGGAAGAAGTCAGGGATTATATATCATACCCAAGATCATGGCTCCATGACCCACCCATATCCTTCAGAAGTGTGCTGTGCTAATCCCCTAGGTAGCTCCCAAGCCAATTACATTAACAATTAAGCTTAATTATCACATCCCATTCATTTTCAACTTGACACCCAAACACATCTCCTTAAATCATGTTTAATCTTCAAATACAACGGTACTTCGGTTCATGAACTTAATTCTTTCCATGATTCTGGTTGCACAGCAAATCAAATTTCCCCATAAAGTTAACATTGAACCTAACAGTTGAACTTGATTTTGTTTGCAACTGATTTGGTTTGCAAGACCCCCAACTCTTGCATTTTGCATGCCAGTAAAACCAGCATCAGGTGGATGACTCCAAGATCTGTCTCCAATGCAACCAGTAGCCAGGACCCCTTGAACCATGGATGCAGCAAACTTTGAGTCCCTAGATGGCTAAGCACAGCAAATGAATCCTGGTGAACTATTTCATAACCCCCTTTTAGGCAGGGGATCCAGGGACTCTCTTTTCAAATAAAATGTTGACACTTCTACATCCTGGAGCCTTCAATGAGTGGTGTCTTGTTGATTTCTGAGATGCCCTCAAGGAATCATTCTTCTTGTCCTTGTACAAAGTATTTGGTTTCTTTTTAATGGTACTAATCTCTTCAGCAACCATATTTCTTTTGGCCCCAACTTTACACATGATTCTTTTGGGGTCAATATCTAAGTAATTTTTCTGCTCTCCTTTTACCTCTCATTCTCACTATAAATTTGGTTAAAAGCAGCCAGCAGTACCTATGCAATAGTCTGAACACTAGGTTGCCTTGAAATCTCCTCTGCCAGATCAATTAGTCCACCAATCTTAAACTTAGCTTCCCACAATGTGTACAGTGGACACAGAGAAAATGTAGACAAATTTTCTGCCAGAGTGTAACACACGTTATGGCCTTTAGTCCAACTTCCACTGAAGTCCTTGTTCTCAACTGAAACCTTATAAGCCTAGATTTACTGTCTGCATTCCTATTAGCATTCTGATCTTCTGTGTCCCAATCAGAGTCACCCATAAGGCTTTGCTTATATCTTTTAGACTTTCTCTACTCTGCAATTCCAAACTCCTCCTGCAAACCAGTTCTAAAGGCTTCTGAACCTCGTGGTCATGTGTAGCCACAACAATAACCTCACTTCTGTGGTACAAATTTTCTGTATTAATCAGAACCAAACATCCAACACCTAGAACTTAAAGGAAGAAATGGTTTATTTGGTTCATGGCTTCAGAGGTGCCAGTCCATGGTCAGCTGGCTCCAAGGGAGGAACATCCTGGTAGAAGCCTGTGACAGAGCAAAGCAGCTTAGTTCATGGTGGCTGAGAAGCTGAGGAGGGGAAGAACACCACAGAGAGACAGGCTGGAAACCATATATAGTATCCATATATAGTAGCCTCCATGACACACTCAGATACATCCAGAAGTGTGCTTTATCAACCCTCTAGGTGACTCTTAAGCCAATTAAATTGACAATTAAGCTCAACCATCATAGCCCCATTTGTGGAGTGATTTTAGGTTTACTGTGGTGCTCATGTCATATTTTGGTTTACTTTTGATATTCTAGAAAAGTATCCTTATCTGTCCAAGAATTCCTATAATTTATTATTTAAATCTTCACCTCTATTCATCTTCATTTCACATTACTGGGTTAAACAAATAACAAATCTCTAAACTACACATACCTTACAATATGTACAAAGGAATGAAGACTGTTAAGAGATATAGAATGACTCTGAGAAATGAGAAAAATACAGGCCAAGGTAGAT